TCTTCTTCTTTCTTAATTAATTAGTGTATATATATATATTATATGCGTGGGCTGTATAGTAATTAACCATGCGATGGCTATATATCCCTGTCCCCTAGCTAGCTACCTATTCCTATCTTCCTTCCATGTGGTACCACCCTGGTCCCCCTGCACTGCCAAATACCCATTGCAATGTGAATACACACACATATATATATATATATATATATGTATATATATGGGACCTCCCTACCAGTACCCATCCCTAACTCTATACGGACACTGCTTCCATCCTCCACACGTACCAACCTTATATACTATCTTCTGCAATCTTGTAACAAATCATTTAATTTCCTTTATTTTACAACACACATTTAAACCAAACTACCTACATCTTTAATTCACATACATATATGCCCACTTTTCAACTCCCATGCCCAAACCAGTTATCTACTTTTCCTAATCCATTCTACTGGAAAGTGGAGACCAACAAACTGATCACACCAGGCTCCCAAGATATTATATATATATATATATATATATATATATATATTGATTTCCCTAGATAGATCTCAGGTACTAGTTTAACTTGTAGATAGATGACAGTTAACATTGTTGATTCCTACCGTAACACTTTAATATTTCAGTTTGTGTTTATGTAATGTATATTAGTAAATTTACAAGTGTTTTTACAGAAATCTCAACTCTAGTCCAGAACACAATATGCTCTTCAGGTGCTCCTTAACAAAATTTAGGTCCAATTTCCTATAAAATATATTTCATATTTCGATATGGGATATGGGATATGTATTGTTTGGTTCTAGTAATATTGGGGTTGAGTTGGGGCAAGGCGTTTAATTACAAAGACATGGATCCCAAACCGTACATTTTTAGTTTATACCTAACCAATAAAACTCCAAAGCAAGCAGGGTCTCTCATTTTCTAAACTTGGTACCTTCATGAGACAGTACTAACCAGTGACATTATGTCATATATACCACTAACTAGCTAGCCAGAGTCTGCCAGCTGCATGCAAAGAAGCAGATACATTTACTAGATTTATCAAAGAAGTCATCATTCGGCTCTCAAACTGACAAACACCAATATCATGACAACACAGATTGCATTGTGAAAAGCTAGAAACAAGTGCATATATCAATTCACTTCATAGCTATAATACAACAAATTTAATCCATCAAAAACTACACATCTACAGTTTTTTTTTTTTTTTTTATCAAAGGTAGATCAAAGAAGACAAACCCTAACTAGCAGCAGGTGTACATGTGAAGCATGTACATGAAGGTAGCACATGAACTTTTAACATCCTTTTGGGCCTTGGTGCACGGCATACCTGGGCCCAGGGCCCAACAGATATAGGGTCCAAAAAGTAAATTACCACTTCCCCTCATCATCCTCCCCGATTCAATCCTTTGTATATATGCCTAACATTATCTTCTAGCCTTCAGCGTCTACTCCTCGTCTTCATAAGAATTGATCTATTATGATGCAACGGCAAAATACGGAAAGGTCAACAGAGGTCTAAACCCCTACACGCGTAGAACCCGGAATATTAAGAGAAAACTAGAGATCGAACTCTAATGATTTACGAAAAACCCTGTTAGCTCTTTGATGCTCTCAGTATCATATTATGTCTTATCTCAAATTCATCAAAAACCTTGAATACATAACCTCACACTTGCACTAATGCATGCATAGTAAATCATACGTTGCACACATATGCTTTTTTAACACACTTTTTTTTCCATATATGATAACCCAAACTAATGAAACCTATTTATACGGGGGAGGCTTAGGGTGAGCATCTAAACAGCCAAAGTGCTTAAACCATTTATACCGTACGATTTTGAACTCTTGCTATGCGGTTTGTATTTTTAGCAAACAATACTTTGTGGTGCGATTTACGGTTTTGAATAATGAAACCACGGTTCAAATCGCACCACACCTCATAATTATTATTTTTTTTAAACATATATTATTTTTATATAATTACGAATTGGGGTTCGAGAAGAAAGACGATGCATAGACATGTCATCGTCGAATTTATTTTTGAAGTTAACTTGTTAGATGGAACCCTTTTAATTAAGGCTTTTAAAATCGTTTCGGACTATTATAATCTTGCATATGAACACAAAGTTCATCAAATTTATTTTAAAGTTGTGATTAGAGCGAAGACTTAGATCTCTGACTCTTGACACATTAGAGCGAAGACTCAGATCTCTGACTCTTGAAACATTAAAGCGAAGACTCAAAGCATAATTCATCAAATTTATTTTAAAGTCGTCTATGCGTTATTAATTTATACCTAATATTTTGAAAGTTGTATTCTTAAAAAAAATAAAAGTTTTTACAAATGAAAACTCAAATGTTTTATAATACAATATACATATATGATAATTGTGTTTATAAGATAAATATACATTGCTTAACATAATGATCACACCCTCGCATATATGACCCTCTATATGGATCTACGTATAAAATACTCCAATTTATGTATAGAAAGATAATTATTACATTTTTTACAATTGAAGTAAGTGTACACAAAATTTTAGACATACATAATTAATACATTTTTTATTAACCAAATGACATGTTTACCCTTATTCAATTCCTCTCATCTCTCAATTCTTAAATATTTGTGCATTGATTAATTGAGAGTAAATTTGAGAATTAGGTTATTTACTTTTGAAAGTAGACACTTATTTTGAAACAAATATAAATAGAAATGTGGTCACTTATTTTGAGACAGATGACGTATATATTTCTGAAACCTTATATTGTAAAATAATCCCAAACTGAAAAGAAAAGAAAGCAGATTTTTCTACTTGATAACAAAATATTATTATACACAAAAAACTACACGGGTTCACCTAGTTTAATGGTTTGATTAAAAAAAAAAACATGTAGCATTCTTTAAGCATCACCAATGGAGATCGAAGCGTTAATAAGACAAACATAAGTGAGTTAGGTGATGTAAAGTATACACTCGTAAATATGGTCTTTATCAACATAGATTGTCATAAGGCGGGGTCAACAGGGTCTGAGGGCAAGGCCCTAGCTAGCAGGGTGGTCCAAGGGGCGGAGCCTCTATGGTTTATATAGGAATTTAGTTTCAGATTTTCAGGGGCAGAACCTCTATGGTTTTAAGAAGAGATTCGCTTAGGAATTTCAAGTTTCAAGACGTTTTGTATGAATTTCATAAGGTTGTAATCTTTCTTGAAATGATGTTGAAATCGTGTGAGAACCAAAAAAGGTTGACAACTGTGAAAACCAATCTACGCTCTAATATGGTTATGATCATATGGTTTTAATTAAAGTTGTTATTATTTAGAAAAAGAACATATCTTTATTTTGATAACAAAGATTAACCAAATGAAACACATACTCATCATGCATGCTATATCACCTCATAAAATAAAACACAATTTTCATAAATATGTTATTTCAGCTCATGAAATCCAAACATAATATTCATATATATGTTATTTCACCACATGAAAACAAATACAATTTTTAGCTATAATCTATTTCACCCCATAAAATCAAACATAATTTCCATCAAGGACAATTTTTCACTATGTTATTTCACTCCATGTCCATGATCACTACTCTTTCTCAAATTTTTGATTTCCTTCAAATACTAACTCCATACGACGACAATTTATTTTCAAAATTCTCTGAGGGCCGGTCGAATATCTGGAAACCTTCTGATCACCGGCGAAGCTTTTGGCTGTGTGGTCGTTGTATCGTTTGAATCCTATCGGCCATTCATGTCTTCCAAAACCACCGATGATTCGTCTAACACCTCATCGCGTTCAAAAATCTTAACCTGTCACATGACGAGGTTCTTGGTAACTACCGCTGTAGGCAGATCAACAACCAGCGCACCGTCTTTCTGTTGTTTTTGCGTATCCTTGTTTGTGGGCTTCATTTCCGGCCTTCAAATCTATTCAAATTAGGGGTAGAACTCGAATAATTAAGGCTAGGTTTAGGGGAACGACGAGATTTCACCAGTATGGAGAATAAACCATCACGATGATCCTTTAGATGAGGAAGACGGTCGAAGGCTGACAAAACAAGGAGGAATTGAAGACGAGGAAGACAATAAAAGTTTGTAATTATGAGATAGATGACGGGATCGGAGAATTGAGTCCAGAGGCGGTTGGAGACGGTGGATCCATGGGGTTGAGGGGATGATGAAATCTGGGTTGGGCCAACGAAGCCCATTTGTTTAATTAAAAAACCATAATATGCCCTTCTAGTTTCAAATTTAGTCCATAATAAACAATATATTTCAAAATTCTTATCGCCTTTAATAGTCGTAGATTAAATTTAATTGTGATTGATTTTCTAGATTCTTAATTTTTTTGTGATTCTCATTTGATTATTGTCCTCTATATATATATATACACAGGCAAATGATCGTATAAGAATGGAAGTTACGTCTGAACCCTTAATTACTTTTAATATAATGTCCATCCATTAATTGCGTTATAGAAGGGAATTGATCAAGTGCATCTCAGAACATTTTATTAGTGTTAACATTCAACTACGATTAAGTCAAAGATGGAGTCTTACATTTTTCACCGTAACTTCTCTTCTAATCGAAACTCAACCTTATATATATATTATACGGAGGTTCAAACCACAACGTGGTCAAATCTGAAAACACGAGGACGGGCAAATCACATGTGATGTCCTATATTCGATTAAATGGAATTTAAGATTATTCTCGTTTGTTCTCTTATTTACAAGCGCCTTGTGTTGTCAGCCATCCCATCTGGTGGGGTTTATGTCCTATATCCGATTTGCATGAATTCCACATCCCAGTTTTAAATCAATCTGGGTCACGTTTTTTGCGAATCTTGAAGGAGAAAATATTTATTACGTAAAATTTGTTCTATGAATAAGATTCTCCAAAATGAAATATTACGATCGATCAACTTAACTTCAAAAAAATATCCCTATATGCTTGTAAAGGAAAAGAAAAGAATCCCTTACGCTTAAGAAAACTAAACTACGGGAATATTATACATAAACAAGCAGGAGCTTTCATTCGCAATGCAACTATCATCGTTACAGTAATCAGATGCACATATATATCATTCGAATGAGCATCAGATTACTATATACTGAAAAGACAACCAATTAGTACCTACGTCTGGCATATTAAACGATCGACCGTTAATTATCCTTATCCAAATTAAACCCTCGTTATTCTACATTCGGGGAGCAAATCTAATTCGAAGATGTTGCTACATGACACAGCAGGCATTAACGTTGTCATCATTGAACATGTTACTGACTTTGTCGTCCCCCCTTTGGCTGACATGAATATTACCATGCTTATCGCCCATATTGTATCCGTGCCTGTAGTAATTGTAGCTCTCTTTGTATTCGTTCGTCGTGTCTTTGAAGTAGTTGGTGGACGATGTGAAGTATAGCGGTGGATTCGGGTAAGGCCAAAACTCTGCCCTCTTTCCCGCTCTCCTAACCGCCTTCAGCACCTTGTTACGATCAACATATCCGATCACTGTAACCTTTTCAAGTTCTAAGTCCACCTCCACTGAGTCCACCCCTGTATATTTCAATTTCAAAACATAGAAACTTAAAGAACCTGTAATTAATCAGTAACGGAAACCATGTCCACTTAGCAACAACAAAATCTCATATTATATATCCTTAATTCTTATCCCACCAATCATTTTAATAAGCATCATCTGTTTAGATATATATTAATTAATAAAATATACACATACCTCTAAGCTTGTGGATGGCACTCCTGACAACTCTCTCGCATCCTGTGCAGCACATCCTCACTTGAAGCTCGATGGTCTATCAAGTAAAACAAAGTTGATAGAAAAAAATAAGACCCTAGCTACTTGAGGTCCCAACAACAAAAGGTGAACATGGTTCGCCTATAACTTCTTTGTTCATCCTGTTAAGCGAACTTTTTGGACTTAAAAGATTGTTAATTTTACTGTCAAAAGAAATATCCATATACAGTACGTGAATGAAATAAGAAATTAAAACAGTAGGTGCATGCATCTAGCTAGACATGAGATAAGTAGCAAACCTGCAAAGAAAGTGGTCGCCGGCCCTTAGGCATGTCGTGTTTGCCGTGCCCGGTGGTATTGTAGTTTGCTTGATAGCTGAAACAGTAGCTGATGACAGCAGAGATGAAAGATCCAAACAGTCTCTCAGAACGGAGGTTGGCCATATGTAATGAGATTTGTTGAGTTTAAATATTAATTCAAATTAATAAAGAATGGAAAGGGGAAGAGGAAGAGGTAAGAAGCCAAGTCTAGGAGATATTCTCGGATGTAGAGAAGGCATCTCTTCCTTCAGTTCCAATCCCTTGTGTATGTAATATATTCCAAACCGTGTTGTGTCTGTGTTGCTTAACGGTTGCTTGTGGTTAGGTTTTCACACGTAGTCGATCCAACAGGGAATTGAGGGTGATGGGCATGGGGGACTTACTTATACTGTAATGGATATATGTAGACATGGACGTGGGGAAGCAATGTCAAAAAGTACCTTTTCCGCGATGAGGAATCGCATCTAAGCCATGGGAAAATATATATTCATCATCTGTTTTAGTATGTAACCCATTGCTTGCATCAACCCGTGGATTAGTTGGGACAAAGGTATCTGATACCATGATATAGATTTATAATTAATTAATACCATTAAATTTATTACCTTTTTCTTTTTTTATAAAATTTGTAGAAGCCTTTATATTAATTCTTTATTTTTTTCGTAACTACTACTTTTCTTTTTCAAAAAATAAAATCATTAAATCGTTTCATGACCTGATTAATTACAATATGCTTGGAACGTGGCATCAACATGGGTGCTGACAAGTGACAATTGCTTTGCTTCAGTAAAAAGAGAAATTTTTGATGGAATATATATATATATATATATATATATTATATATATTTATTTATTAAGAGAGAGAGAGAGAGAGAGAGAGAGAGACTTAATTGGGTTAAGAAATTGATCGCTAGAGTAGAGAGATTAAAAATGGTAGATGATGCACATCACGAGCTATAGGAAACCAAATATATTCCTTCAAAATCTTGTGCTTTTTTTTCAGGCATCTTTGGAAAAAACTATAACCCAACAGGCACCAATATCTCTGTCTATCTGAAAACCACCATCCAACATATATATTCGCTTCCCTGATTGTTCACCAGTGATCAAACCATCTTGACCCCATATATATGTATATATATATATATATACATACATATATATATATATATATATACATACATATATATATATATATATATATACATACATATATATATAATATACATGCATATCTACATATATTTGCAAGATGTTCTGGACACCCTACTTTAATTCATGTACTATAAATGGCATGTTGCATGGTTATGTCGGAGATCTAGAACCAAATACAAGTTAATAAACAATATATTTTATCGTTTTATATATATATATATATATATATATATATATTAAATCTTGATATATATATATAGATATATTTACACACATGCACACACACATATATCTGCAAGACGTTCTAGACACCCTACTTCATGTACTATAAATGGCACGTTGCATGATTATGTCGGAGATCTAGAACCAAATACAAGTTAATGAACATATATATTTTATCGTTTTATATATATAAAATCTTGATATATATAGATAGTGTGAATGCGTTATGATGATGGAGAGATTAAAAATTAGAAAGAAAAAAAAACAGAACAATCAAGTGATAGTGCAAATACAACTTTGTCGAGGCATATAAGTTTACTTAAAGTTTATTCGCACTTGGATTTGAATGTGTAGGGTAACTAGTATTTTTCTTCCAGTTGTAGTACATACATATTAACTACTTGCTTTTATACTTGGAAGTGGAATTCTAGTCACTATTATAATTAAACTACTAACTTAATTAACACTTGTCATCTCCTCTCTCTCTCTCTCTCTCAAATATATATATATATATATATATACATATATTGTGGGTGGGTGTGTATTCATACATGGAGCTATGCATGCATTTATGTCTTGAATCACGAGTAAAGTAGATGCCGGACTTCGATTTCCTTTTTAGTAACAAGAATATTAATTTATAAATAAATATTTCCAAAAATCATTCCAGATATATTATATTTGGATCTTGATAAGCAAAAATATATGGTTTAGAGAGAGACATTAACTTCGGTATATTTTTCAAAGTTTGGAGATGAACATGTTTTAGATCATGCAATTTTGGGAAACTAGGTACGTTAACTTGGTGTTAAACTTAAAAGATCGTTTGTTTGTTTTAGGATAAGAGCTTAAGAACAATTAATGTCCTCTTATTGGATAAGAGTTAAAATCATGTTTTATTATCCTCTTACATTCCTCTTATTTCTCTAAAATAAAAACAAAATATTTGGAACCCCAAAAAACAAGAGGTAACCCTACTTTATTACTAATTGCATGCCATGATAATGGAACATTTGAGAATTGAAAACATCTAAGATGTACAAGTCTCAATAGCACAAAAATTAGTACTCTTAAAATAATACCAACACTGGCTCGGCTTCGTCCTAGAAGCTACTGCTTCGACCTCTTTAGACTTCACTATCGCTCATGACTGGTATATGGATCTCTTTATGTAGTGGTTGGCCTTCTAGAAGCTTCGCCAGAAGCGAATAGTCGCTTTCCGAATGCCCCTTTCTTTGCCGTCAAACCACTAGGAGAGTCAGCAAGCTAGCTTGCTTGCATTGTAGCTTCCATGCCCTTCTTGCTCACTGAAATATTTTGATTTTAAAAAAATTACAGTATTATTTATAATAAATTTTAATTAGCATTTATATTTTTCTATTTGTTGGTAGTAATTTCTTAATATCATTAACCATGATTATGTTTACATATTTAAACATTTATCAGTTTTTCAAAACAAACAATATTATAGATTTTGTTTTCAGATTTTAACCACAAACATCTTTTCAATAAGATATGAAAATATGACTTAAAGATTTTAACATCTCTTAAAAGCTCAAACAACACTTTAGGATTGTTTTGGTCTCAAAGGTTATATACAGGTTGAAGTGGGAGTGAGAATTAATGAGTGAAATGACTCATTTCTGAGTTTTTGATAGTGAGTCATTCCCATATAAATTAGGGTATGGAAAAACATTTAAAGAAATTACCATTATCTATCCTTATGTTTGTTTAAACTTTATATCAGTTCTGAAATTATATCAAATCCCCATTGTTTTAATTTGCTTAAACCCTTCATCCATGTCTTTAACAGACGAGCATCTTAGTCCTTTTGCCTTTTCTATTACAAAAATATGTTAACGTACAAATATGTAAAGTTTTTGTACAAACAATTAAATTATTTATAATTAAATAATTTAATAAATCCTCCCCTCCTCCTCCCTTTTCCCTCTGCTTCTAACCAAAACCATGGATGCATTGAAGAAACCTGTTTTGTAAAATGAAGGTTTTTGCTTCTTTTCCTCTATTATAGCGAAAGGTCTTTGAAAATGCTGCAAATCCCAATGAGCAGCATCACCAACCATATGGTCTTGATTCTTGAAGCATATAAAACCAATTTTAGATCGTTTACACCAAAACAACCTTAATCATATTTCAATTCTTCTTTCTTAGCCTTGATCCCAAAAGTATCGGACCTTATTACTTTTGGCAATTTTAGACTAATAAGCCTAACTGCTTGTGTATATATAAATTAAAATAATTACAAAAACCTTAACGGAAAGACTTAAGAAAGTCATCGGTAAACTTATTGGGGAGGAACAGAATGCTTTTCAAAATGTGAGTAGAGAGTTCTTTTTT